TCAAAACACTTCACTATATAAGCTATGTAGAAAGCACACCGCACTGTTGGTTATCACGGAACAAAAGAGTAGTATAACTAAATACTTCAACCATAAAGTGTCAGCAACATAATAAATGGAGTTGTGTTTTGTACGAAGTGCTAGTAAAATTTGTGATGAGATTTTACTGTGTGGTGTAAATGTCTAGAGAAAGTGCGCATCGAAACATGCACCCTCGTTATTTCAATGTGGTGGCACTGCTCTGCCGAAGGTCCCTTGCTATACCATATCATAATTGTTGGCGATTTTTTATTGCTATTCGTTTATTTCCATCGATGTCCATAATAAACTTGCTATTTAGTTTGGTTTCATTATAGATGATTGTATTATGCATCAAGTGTGTTCTTACTAAATAATTGCGTTCACGTCAATATACTGTACGCTCTAACGCGGCACGCACATTAATGAAATTGTGACCAAATATTAATTCTATGATTGCTATAAAGCTTCGCCCCGTGTGTTTGCATACCTGTAGCCGTACGGTTCAGTGTAGTTAGTATATCTATTGAATTCAGCTCTGAATTCTTCTGCGGTGATACCAGCTAATCCCTTCTCTTCCACTGCATTCCAGTAGACGGCGCCAGTAGCGATGTAGCCGTTCATAGCTGTGAGGATCTGTTAAATACCAAGCAGACTACAACATTACGCTGGGTCTACACTATCAACTTTCTGTTGAAAAGTTGACGAGTTGATCAAATTTTCAACTAATCGACCGAAAGTCGGCAGTGTGAACGTAAAAGTTAAGCGCTCAACAAGTAAATGATTTGAACATATTCTATTTTCACCAATTTTCTCCAAGTTTTTGCCACTCAGCCACCCCGCTAATAGCCAGCAGGGAACGTGTCTCTCCATATATGGGAAGCTTTATATGTATCTGTAAAGCTAATAAACTAGCACTACATAATATTTGCAACATCTGACACCTACATCACCACCGTCGTATCAGAAGTGTCATAATATCAATATAGACTCTGTTTATTATAACACACCCACGTGATTCCACGTTATGACATTTCTGGTCGTATTACATCTCACTCCGGGAAGAGTGGTCGGCTCTACCCACAGGGATCCGAGTCTCTATACGAACACTACGAAGACTT